ATATAAATAGTATGTATTATTAATATTCATATAAATAGTATGTATTATTAATATTAATATAAATAGTATGTATTATTATTATAGTCAAGTATCGATAAATCGAAATTACAAGATCAGTTTTCTGATTGCGTTTATCAATTTGAGACTTGGCTGTATTATATTTTTATTTGTATATATCTTATAATTGGCAACTTGCTTTAGTGTAGCAGCTTGTGGATTACTTCCGACTTGAGTTATAATTTAATAATGCTTGTATTCAGGAAGGATCATTGGCAGAGCGAGCAGAGGCAGAGCGACATTCCAGCTATAACAACTTCAGCTCTTAATACCTCTCTTATAAATGTATTTGAGTTGTCACTGTTCTTACTTATACTTAATTACTTACGAGTACTACTATATAACATTCAATTGGTTAAGCAGAGAGCTTGCTTTGTGTTTTTTTATTTATTTATGTATTTATTGATTTTATTTTTTTTTTTTTTTTTGCAAAAAGAAAAGAGCTGCAAACTAGAGTTCTCTTAAAGGTTGACTGCAGTCAAACTTGTTTCTCTATTGAATCAGTTATATAGGTCGTGCCAATAATTATGTATATGTACATAATACGAATCGAAATGATATCGAATAAATGAAATCATAGAAAACATCATTCCAACATAGTTTTAAGCCTTAAGCGAAAATTAATAATTACTTTAGATTTCTTTAATTGGAATCTTTTTTGTGACAACATATTGACGAAGAGTAGAGGTGGAATACTTTTAATTTCGACAAAACTAGTAGTTTTTAATCGAATTGATTTCCATACAAATTTAAAATTGATCATATTAAATAAGAGAAAATTCTTTGCATATGTGAATGTCGAAAGATTTGCAGGTTAAGCTTTTTAGCTTTGCCATAATGAATATCTTACAAACAACGTAGTACAGCTTCATATATTTTATGACTGTGTTTGTAGCTAGAGATAAAATATTTTTATATTTAATAAACAAGTATTTTCTTTAAATTTTTTTCTTTTCATATACACTTTAAAAATTTAAATTAAATTTAAATTAAATACAATAAAACATATAAGATATTGTCACAGCTTATACAACTCTTTATAGCTAATATAAATCATGCAAAATTAATGAAATATTCTTCATTCTCACGACCTAGATTCTCTGGTTAATTTTAGCAGCCCCATAAGAACAGATATATGAAAATCACAGCAGCTGAAATCTGTGCTTTACAACTTTAAGCTAACATATTTGTTAAAGTAAAACGCTCTATCTCTCTCTCCCTCTCTCTGACACTCTACAGAGAAAGAAATGTGTATATAAATATATGCTTCGGATATTTACCCAGAAACTTGATGCATGTGCCAGCAACTGAGCTGAAAAGCGCACAGAAATAATTATTATTTACACAGCGGCTGACGACTGAAAATCATAGTACGCATTTAAAAAGACGCAAAATGGGCTGTGGAGGCGTGATGAAAGAGCAAAAAAAAGGAAAGAAAGAAAAAAAAAACACAAAGTGGCTACGGCTTATGGGAAACTCTTCATCCTTTACCTTGCAGCGAAATACTTGCTAATTGGTGTCATTAAAAAGTTCTTGAACGCAAAAATATGTGCCACAAGTAAATATTGCGTATACGTCATGTGGTACGCCGTTCGCTATTTATATGCATCTGGGGGCAGCGGCTGCTGTGTGTGGCATGCCACGCTCGACTGCTTTACAATGTAAATGTAATCAAAGTTTATATTTTGTTTTTGTTTTTTTTTTTCTTGTTTTTTTTTGTTAACACCTTCCGCTTGATTTGTGTTTATGAAAATGTTTGAGTAAAAATTCATTGCGGCGCACCTTGAAAAGGTGCTCAGAAAATTAGCATTTAAATTACGCGACAACCGCGCCTCCGCCACCTCACTGCTGCCGCAGCCCGTAATCCAAGTTTAGTTTTAGCGTTCAATGAAGCAACATTAATTGGAATATCCTGCCCCGGACACTCTGACGTCCAGTGGCTGGCTTTGATGGCTCGCCTATAATTGTTATTGATGGCGCATTATCCAATGCCACGCGAAAACAAAGTCAACTTTTTTTATGCCCCGCCTCTCGCTCTGACTGCAGGTGTTATGCTAATCAGGCATGGCCATTGCCTGTGGGCGTGCTGTTCTGGCCAGGCACTCGGCCTGTTTGTGAAATCAGTGCCTGCCGCAGAGCTGCAGAAAAAATCAAAACCTGATTAAAACTTATTTTATAGTATGTCAAGCAGATATTCTTATCGTAAATGGATCCTAATCAGTTTCGTTCTCTTGCTTAACTATATTTGCTTATATATATAAATTTATAAAATTTATTTAATTTTATGTTGGAATTAGAAATATATATCCGATATAAATATCGGACCGTATTTTTAATAATTTTACGGCGTCTTACATTTTCCATTGAGGAGCACAAGGCGCCCTAGGTCTTTTCTACTTAAGCATAAACAAATTTATTTTTCGGCTTGAAATAATTTTTGTAATTTGTATTTTGTATTCGTAAAAATTTAGTTTAGATACATTTGTATATATGTACATATGTACAAATATAAAGTATTTATTTATTTTTAAATATATATTTTTTACTTACCGATTGCTTATATTTTAAAATTTTTTCTGATTTATTTTTATTATATTTATTATATATATATACTTATAATGCTTGTATTTTATATTTTTATTTAGATATATCTGTATATACATTGTATAAATTTTATGCATTTATTTATTTTTAAATATATATATATTTTTTTTTTCTTACTTATTGCTTATATTTTATATTTCTATTTTTTTTTTAATATGATAAAAACATATTTTATATGCTTATATATTTTATAAGCTTGTATTTTATACTTCTATTTTAATAAAAAAAATATACATAAATATACATTTTTTTTTTTAAATTCACAATATATGTCCGTTCCGCATTCAAGATCATTCTGCATATCTGTATATAAGTTTTTTTATAAGCAGCAACGAATGCTGCTTTGCATAAATCAGATTCATAAATTTGACTTTACCTAAGAATTTCTCTGATTATAAATCTGACTTATTCACATTTCCATCCAATTTTATTACGCAACATGAACTTGAGTTTGGCATATTAAACATCATAACATAGATCAAGAGTAACTTTTATGATTTCTCAATCAACAGCTCTGTTAGCTAATCTATTGTGATTTCTACGATATTTGTTGTTTTACTTCAAGGCCAAATCACTGCATGCATTGTCAGCGAAGCCAATGAGTTTGACTAGCATGAATATACTCTGTTTTTAGACGTTAGAATGCGGATTTGGAATATATTTAAGAAAATAATATTTATAAAGTCTACAAACAAAATTATTATGAATGATAAAGTTTTACAATGTTTTTGTTATGCGATTAAAGATTTCTGTTTGGATTAAAGACACTAAAAACTCTATCAACAAAATATAAAATATTATCGTAAATTAAAAATAGCTTTCACTTTTTGATATTTTTTGTAATCCTACTATTTTTATTTATTTTTCGTATTCGCCTTAGCTCTACCCTACAGGGTATATCACACACTCGCACCCACAAATTGCATATTTGAATTTTAGCTCTATAGATGAGCTGGCGAGGTGGAGGCGTCATTCGGCGTGAGCTTGGGTTTGCCTGGCGGCTGAATGGCGCCGCTTTGGCCAGCCCGCAAAACCGACTCCGCAGCCAGAATACAGAAGAAGCTGGCGCAGACCTAGGGCCACGAGCCACCCGTTAATCACCCAGCACATCCACATCCACATCAGCACACACACACACACACGCGCACGTATATTGACGCCCGCACACACAAATCCAGGCAACAATCTATTTACATTTACACCAAATGTACAAATTTAGTTATCGTTAGCTGGGTGACGACTAGAGCGTGTGGGTGAGCATGAGTAAGT